ATAATAATAATAATAATAATAATAATAATAATAATAATAATAATAATAATAATAATAATTTTGTTATACTAGGAATATTTCTATAATCGGTTTATTCGTAATAAATTATTTGACAATATCTGTAATACAATTTATTTTAAAAAGTATCATTTCTTAAATCTTAACATAAAATTAACAAAAAATATCAATATTACATTTGTTTCTACTTCTTATCAATGACCTGATATAATTGATGTTTACTCAAAAACGAAAGGATTGACCGTAAAAGCTTCTTCGTATCGTTATTAGCATAATGTAGTCGAGTGGTAACTTAATGGAACGAAAAATAACGCATTTGCTATCTTTCTTTGGAAATTACGCAAAGAAAGGTAAGGCAGTTGACGTGTCGATTAAAATGGACATTTTTTTAAAATTCCTTTTTTTTTTTTTATCAATAATAACATCCAATAGGAATTGAAATTTAGATTACTCGATTTGTATCTGTTTAGTTAAATAATGTTAAAAATTTGCAAATATCTAAAAAAAGAACACTTGATACGAGATATGATAGGCGGGGACAGGAAAGCGAAAATTTACTTAAAAAAAAAATCTGCAGCTTCGTTCTCTTAACACGTCAGGTTTATGCCTTTGACAGATTAAGTGTGCGAGATAAAGAAAGAAAGAAAGAAAAAAAAAGAGAAAAAGATATGAAAGAATGCTCTTTGCTCTGCTCGTCGTATCTCCATTGCGAAAAAATAAAGGACCGTTATGAGAGGACCATCTTATTTCGTCCTTTCCAAATATGTCCTTCCTTATATGTAAGGTGTAGTGAAAAGAATTCATGATCGATTGATTTCGACAAATCTATCATATTCATTGAAATTAACAGTTTCTAATATCTCAAGAAGAATTATAAATATGAAAATATGAATTAATTTCATATTTTATTTTACATTTATTCAATACGAATAAAAGTACATTTAGAAATATCAAGAATTTTTCTAACATAAAGCATAGAATGTACTTTCATTTGCATTGAATGAAAAAAAAATGAAAAGATGCAACCGAGTACTATTTGCAAAAGTAAAAGAAAAAAGTTACATTATTGCAGGAAGAAAATGTAATAGTTGAAAGAATTTGTTCTCGACGTCATTTTTTGATGAGGTTATGATGTATTTTTATATATATATAAATATAACTATATAATTATTAATTATAACTATATAATTGGGATATTCTTGTAGAGCATGAAAAAACAGAGAGAGAGAGAGAGAGAGAGAGAGAGAGAGAAGGAATAGATCGTTGCTCATTCGTTGTACTCAAGCTGATCTGTCTGGTGGTTCGTTGTTACCTTGGCTTCCTAGACAGATGGTCGCTTGGCCACATGTTACCTAACTGTAGGCTATTTTTAAGTGCCATTGCCTTCACCGGTATCGTCACTCTCTCCTCTTCCTCTCAACGTTCAACAATACAGATAATATTAGTAAGCTGACTTAACTAAAATACATATGTCATAAGTATATTTGCTTTTTTTTTTAGATCTATCGAGTTACAAAAGAACACTTAACTGTTAGAAGTAATTAGGATTATCACCAACTTTTAAGTACTACAATCGATTGAATATTTTCTTCATTCCATAAGATTTCTCTCTATCTCAATATTAAGATTATTACATATTTTGTATCAATTATTAGTTGTTAACAATTTGAATCTATTAGATTAGGAAAAGTATTATTGAACAGTTAGAAGTTTGTTAGATGATCATTGATTCTTAGTATTATAACTGGAATAGTAGAATCATAAAGAAGTTAACAGACGATCATAGATGCTTGCAGTGTTAAAGTAGATAATAATCATTCTTAATAAAACACCTAAGAGCAAACTAGCTATACTTAATAGGTATACTTATAAATCGAAAGAAGTTCTACCTGTGATCTAGATAAGATCATATACATTTGGAACATAAGCTTTAAGTAAAGATATCTTCAGAATTCGAGTCAATTAAAAATTCAAGGCATTTCAAACTATACATATATACACGTGTATATACATATGTAGAACGTTATACAAGAAAGAATGTTCTTCAATGATATTTAATGGAATTTCCTTTACATTGAGATCGAAACACGCGAGGGTATGTAGAAGATTTAATTGACCGCGATAGCTTCTCTAGCTGGCTTGCTTGTTTTTATCGTAAAAGATTAATGGATCATGTCACATTGTTTCTCAAGTAGATTCACGTCGTTGCTATAAGATCGCCGAAGATCTCGACCGCTGCACCGTACCGGGAGAAATCGCGTGACCGACATGAAAAATTCTTTCCCTCTCGCCCGCACTCTATGTATATTTAGGATAAGATTCAAATTACGATATAGATGCATGATCGTAATATATTTCGTTTCATAATATATAGGACTCACTTCACGAGTGTACAAGGAGGAACAAAAACAATGAACAAAATTCACATAAACAAGTAATTCTATTTCGTACGGAGAGCAACTTCTCCAATGCAAAGGGTTAATATTTGTCTACATATATATCGAATACAGCTTCATTTCATTTTTAATAAAAGTTTTAACGAAATGTTTCCTAGAACAATCGCATATATAAATTTTAATTTTAAACTAAACTACATTTATATACATGTTTATTTAAAATACGTTGTTCAACTATAATTAATCGTCGTTCATCATGTTGTAAATAGAATCCAATAATTGGTAACGTCATTCATGGTCTTCCAAATGCATAGTATTCAGTAGAGCAAAGAAAGAATATGACCCTTTCATTATCTGCAAATATTAATCGATTTTATTCGCAGTACTATCACATTGATATTTAGTTGAGAAAAATGTAGCGATTTTACAATGTTTATAAACATAATACAGTAGTATCAGTACGTTTGACACAAAACTAGTTCAAGCGTTTTCAAACTGGAAATTTGGATGTTAACACGTTCCGTGCCACGTGTACCACCGGTGGTACATGCTAAACTTGCTCTTCAGGCCACGTATACCACTGGTGGTACACTTAACATTAGACATATTTATTTAATGCGTTGAAAATATATGTTTGTAGCAAATTTAATTCTGTAAAAAAATATTCCTTTTAAAATATACAAAATGCAGTATAAAACAAAGCATATAAGTTTGTTGAATTGTTATATTTATAATAATTAATAATTACATGTACTGGTTGATTTTGTTAAAGCAAAATTAAATGGCTTAAATGACAAGTCAAGTAAAAAGGGCTTGGCACGGAACGTGTTAAAGAAGCACTTTTCTATGTTCAACTAATCACTAAAAAAATCGATGAAGTCATGAAAAAAATTGAGCAAATTTAACTCAGGTCAAACTTAATCTGATATATCGTTTGTTCAACTAAGTGCATGGGTTCTGATCGAATAGTGTGCCACTGATCCCAGTAGGGTCAAAGCGAGTGGAGTGAAACGAAGGTGCATACTTTCTATAAGAAACATCTAAGAGAAGATTTATAGAATAAATTTTGTTTAAGGAAAAACATTCTCATCATTTTCTACACTTACATTGATGAATGTTTCCAAAGATAAAATATAAAATTTGCCGGCTTTCAATTTCAATGGTTTTTGCGAAAACATAGAAGAGATTATTAATAAATTCGCAGTTCGATCGAGTGGTTGATTATGCCATTGAGAAAGCCATTGTGCATCGACTAACGATGAGCTCTACAAATAAAACAAATAAAATCAATTATTTTTGATCAAATGATTGATATTATATCAAATGGAAGAAAGAATAATTCTAATTCTAACACGTATTGTACATATACATATATCGTACATATATATATTCTAATTTAAAATTTTTTATATATAATTTATTTGTAATAAATTTTGTGTACTCATTTTATGTAAATATTCTAGTGCAATGGAAAATATAAGAAAAATAATTTATCCTGTAGATTGAGAAATAGACATTAAGAACTGTATGACAAGTTATCATTCTGCAGGAGCTTTACTTTCCTACATGTGCAGATGCTTTTTATTATAATATACATGCGTTATGAATTAGAATATATTAAATATTATTTACGATACACAATAAAACAATCAGAGCAAAAAGTCAGAAAAAAGAGTAACTAATTTGAAATATTATCTAGGAACGTTTGGATAATTCTTATAAGTAAATATAACTTACGTGAGTTATAACCTCATTTCCTATCCAACATATATACAAAAGCTGACTAATTGCAGCACCTAAATAAATTGAATACTTCCAAAAATTCGAGTCTTGTCCAGCAACCTATTAAAAAATTTAATACATTTAAAAAATATTTATATTAAAATTGTTACAATTATACATAGTATGGTAAAAAAAAAACGAGTAATTGTAAAAGTTCTGTAAACAATGCTTTATTTAAAAAATAAAAATTGTATGGTCTAAAAATACAGAAAAAAAGAATTTTATTGCTTGAAAACGATCGACTCTCATCCTTGCGAAGACATTCATTCAATTATAATGCATATTATTTCTACAAGATTTAACAGTAACGCATATGACACTACTATCTGAAACGTTTCACGAAACTGCATGACAACGAAATGAGAAATCCCGTGACCGTTTTATACTGTACGTATACCTTTTTTTCTGCCCCATGGAGGCCTTTTTTTAGTGAGGAACCAGTTTCTTCAAAATTCTTAATCCACGTTTTAATGGTATGATCAAACGGCGCATGATTATTACAGTTAATGTTGAACTTGCGGTAAAAGAACAAAGTATTCCAAATGTTATAAAAAAAAATATATTCAAAAACTATGTAATATTATGACCTGTCCTGAACAAATAAAATATAAAACAAAATATACAATTTTCATGAGTCATTCCAAAAAAAGAATTACTAATGTGAAAATCGTTAAATTATTGAAAAAATTAAAACACGAAACATGTGCCGATTACGACATTTCATTCTCGGCATGATTGCGTACATTAAAAAATTTGGACTCACTCGTTATAAATTATTAAATTATTAGTTAGCATTAGAAGTTCTGCGATCGCTCTAAAACACTTCTGACTCTAATTTGCGTTTAATTTTAATTTTAAAAGTAAAATAAAATTAATTCACAAATTATTATATTTTTGATAGATATTCTGATAGAATTTTCTAAAATTATATATTATATTTTGTGTTTGTATTTGTTTCTTCTAAAATGCATGTATATGTGTATTTTTAATAATAGCAATTTAAGGTACTCTAATGCAAGAAAATTGAAGAGGATTGAAATTAAATCCAATGATAATCATCTGTAAAAGAAATAAAACTATATTAATCATACAGTCAATAAACCCAATCCTAAAATACAAGTGGCCAAATTAGCGCAGATGCACTTTTAAATTTAAACGCGTGATTTTATATTATAATACATAATAATAAAGAAATAGGAAAGTTTCAAATATTACGTTTCTAATAAAACAAATTAAATTTATTTTAAACATTGTGTATTATGTACTTTTATATCGCGTGCTTAACAAAAACAAATTCCAAATATAATAATATTTGATCAAAGTTAAAAATCTTAAAGATAAGAAGGTAAAAGAAAAAGTATTGTGCTGTTTAATGTATGTTAATTAAGTTTAATATCTAAAAAAAAGCGCAAATCTAAATAGTTTTAACTCTATTAACTAACAAAAAACTTGTGCATCTATTGAACGATTCAAGCATGAATTTAGTGTAACAAGGAAATAGAATGGTTCATCATCTCCGACTACAACTACAAATTAATGACAGGCAAAAAAATAATACAATAAAATACAAAATAAGACTAAAGAGATATTCTCGTAAAGCTGCTGTTGAACCTTTGAAAATAATTTTATAGCCTGTAGTTACCCTCTTGAAGCATAAATAAGTGGGGGCCCTCTTCGATATTAAAGGGTAACACCACTATAGAGCCTGAAAAAAAGTCTTTTTTTGGGAATTTTTTTTGCGAAAACTAAATGAGAAATAGAATTTTTTTTGAGGGTTGGTTAATCATAAATTCAACTATGTAAACAAATATTTTTATTGATTTTAGATAGGAAATGGCGTCGGTATTCGTGACTGCACAAAACCCTGTTTTTTTTTTGCTAAAACGGGCGAACTCATACCTGGACAACTATGAAACCTAGAATAAAAACCAGAAGAAATTCTTAATCTATGTACTATTATCTTGAGAAGTACTTACGGATTTTTCCCTAAGTCAAATTTTGTGAAAATGGCGCAACTTTGAATAAAAAAATCGACTTTTCGACGAAAAAAATGTAAAAAATTGTTTATAACATTAAAAGTTTACATTTAATTAAAAATCGGATATGTACTTCTGTAGAAAATAAAACTATTAAACTATCTTCAAAATTTCAAGTCAATCGGTTAAATGATGCTCGAGTTCTAAGTCCGCCCAGATTTCAAAATTTTCGAGTGAAAGTTTCGAGAAAAACGCGTTTAAAGTTTTGTCATCACTATTCGAGGCGCCTTGAGGTGCTTCGTAAAAATAAGATTTCGCCATGTTAAAAATTTTTTTTGCTTCGGGACCATGTGCATAATGTTTTTAGATGTCTAAAGTACACTTTAAGTTAAAAAAAAATCGATTTTTTGAAAATTTTATAGTGGTGTTACCTTTTTTTTTTTATTTAAAATAATGTTTCCCTTTCGAGATACATGAGGTGCGTCGACACCGTTTCAATATAATACTTATTAAATTACATTATACATTCTTACAAATACACATCTATTAACATCTTCTTTCTGCTACTGACTCTTAACACCGTTCTCTCCTTCTACTTAGTTCTTTCATCCATTCGATTCCCTTTTCTTCTTCTCCCATCAATACTTCTATCCTCTCTTCCGTTTCCGAATAATTACATTCCTTCATTACATGCATTCCTGTTTCTTTCTCTGTCCCACATAATCTACACATGATCTGATGTGCAGAAATGAACCATCATTGTGTCATGTCATTCACCAAAAATGAATCATGAACCATGTCTCCTACAGTCCTAATATGTCAAATTTTTCTAAGTATTCCCAAAAATCCTTCTCCTTATTCTTTATCCTTGCCACATTCCATGCCATTATTCTCACCTTTCTCCTTCCCTTTGTCTCTATTCTTTTTCCATTCTGTTTTTTCTCTCCTCCTTCTTGACTCTTCTTGTTTTTCTTTTTTCTCCCCTTTCCACCTAATTCCTGTTCTCCTCTGTCATATAAAAACTCTGTCCCTCCTTAACTAGCTTCTTTTCTTCATCACTCCATCTATACCACATTCCGTCTATTTCCAACTTTCTATAACGTATTATCACCTTCCTTCCTTGCTTTCTTAATTCCCTCGCCTGGTTCACTATATCTCTTTGTACCATTCTCTCCTCCCTTGTTCTGTCATGCTCAATATATATCGGTTCATCTCTTAGCTTCTTCTTGTTCTGCATAATCTTCTCCTTCTCTTCTCTCTTGCTTAGTTTTACTCGTATAATCTTCTTCTCATACCCCATCAAATTCGCTTCCTCTACTTTCACCTCTGTGTCCAATTTTCGCTGAAAAAAGGCCTCCATCTCTTTCTCCAAACCTTTTCTATCTTTTTTTAGCCCTCTTATTATTATACATCTTTTCCTTTCCTCCGCCTCGCTGCTGCTCTCCGCTACCCCTTTGGTTCCTTCTTTCATTCTGTTTTCCTAGTCCTGTAGTTTGTTTTCCCAATCCTGCAGTTTTTTCTCTAATCCTTTTTCTAACTCCTGACTTCTTCTCTCCCACTCCTTTCCCTTCTTTTTAGTCTCCTTCGCAACTTCCTCCCTTATCTTCAATTTCGCAACTTCATGCTTTATCACTCTCTCCCACTTCATCATTTTGTCCATTATAATAAACATCAGCTCTCTATTCGTCTTATTCGCATATTTTTCCTGTAACCCCTTCACTACTGACTTCTCACCTGCCGTTTGCATTGTATTTTTTTTTGTCACCTTCTCTTTCTCCTCCGGCGAATTCAACTCTCTCTTTCTCGATATCATTTCTCTTACGTCTCCTGTACTGCCTGATCTGTGTTTAGCCCAGGTCAGTGCCCTGTTCGGTCTTCCTCTATCCTTCTTTCCCTCCTTATCCACTCCTATCTCTTCTGCGCTCCCATCATAACCCTTCTTTACCGACTGTCTTTTCTCACCTTCCTTCCACCCACTCTCCTTTCCGCTGTCGTTGTTTGGCGTTCTTATCTCCATACACTCTTTTCGCGCTTTTTTTGTTCTCTCTCCTTTTTTTTTCTATGCCCTCTAACCTCAACTACTTTTTATACTTCACTCCTTTTTTACTTCTACTTCTATCTAATTCCCACTCCTATTATCTCTTTGCACTGAGCCCTTTTTCCCACTTCACTTTCCTCTGCCTTTTCCCTCTATTAATCACCTATTCACTTATTTACACTTTGATTTCCCTCACTACATATACGCACGCTGTTTTCCCTTCGGGCGATCGACGCGCTCCCCAGTGGTGTTACCTCTTAAGCCTCTTTTTTTCTGCATTCCCTGAAAACTGCATTTGGGCATTCCCTATATATTAACAAGATAAGATTTTCCATACTTCTCTAGCAAATAAACTCGTATTTTGTTATGATTCTAATTCTCAAATATTAAAAAATTAATTTAGCACAATTAATCGAATGTTTAAGCAGATAATATTTTCCATCAATAATCTAATAACACTTCGCACTTTAAATGTCAAGTAATAAAATTGTATTGAAATAAATAACGCAATAAATGTAATGCATTTTTTTGCAATACTTTTATTTCATTTACTCATTACATTGAATTATATCAAATATTTCTAATAGTAAGACGAAATCGCGATTGTGCATAGTGCTAATCTTGTAATACTTAAAATTAAATATCAAATATATCAAAGAATTTACGAATTTGATTCTCTCACTCTATCTCGTTCGTAATAAAATCAAAGTAGCAATGAATCTTTCAAATGGTTGCAAATCTCTTTGAATCATGATACATAATAAAGATTACAGAAGAGTCACAAAATAAATTTACAAATCAAGCATAATAGAATAAGATAATAACATTTTCTAACAATTCGGTATAAGCCAGAAAGCGGAATTTCCACTCCGTAGTGGAAGCAAGCCTAGTGCTTTCCTGGATAATACCTACTGAAAATTAAAGTTTTCACATTCACTCAGAGAAGTATGCTACTAACCTGCCTATTAACCATGTTTAAAAAGAAAAAACATATATACCCACCCACTCACTCACTCCACGGTTCTCACACATACCACCAGGGTGCA